TATTACTCGGGCTGCCTGTCAGGATGCTCTAGTTGAGAATGGACCACTCTCAATACTATTATTACTCGGGCTGCCTGTCAGGATGCTCTAGTTGAAAATGGACCACTCTCAATGCTATTAGTACTCGGACTTTCTGTCAGGATGCTCTAGTTCAAAACTTTGTTTGTTGTTTGGTTGTGGTTCCCACTCTAGAGCGCAGAGCCCTGTCATTCTCACCGCGTATGCAAGACGTCATAGTGTTTCGTTGAGAACGCGCAGTAACAATGACAGTGCTCTGGAATCGAGAGTTCATGATCACGTCACAAAATCGTTCTCTGGGTAAGGCCGCACGGGTTAAAAAAGGCACAGGCTTCGGGCATCTCAAACGCCTGCGGCAATAGTTACACCAGTATCAGACACATTTGACCCTCTAGAGTTTTAGACAAATAACTGTGTGAATTATTCTCTGGTTCCAGGATTGTCTCCAGTGACTGTAGTGACGCACAGAGACACCCTTCGCACCCAAGAGGACCGTAACAATGCTCTCGAGTCAGCTTCAGCTGCTACGGGAAGCTCTCGCAGCCATACTTTCTTTGTTGCCAACTACTGTCCAAATAACCCTGGACCTAATGTTGAAACTGAGCTGGAAATCTTTGACATCTTGCATTTTGCAATCCTGACTGCTGAGCGTTACGTAAAGATAGCAAAACAGCAAAAAAAGAATAAAGAGATGGATGAAATCGAGAAAGCTCTGGGAAACGCGGATATTGGTGCTCCTACTGACATAAAGATAGTGTCCACGGGTGAGTTTTAAATGATACAAAGTGACATGGTTATTTCTGCCATTCACATAACATGCACAATGTGCATGACAAAGATATGGGTTCGAGGAGAGATCGTTATTTCAGCCCTTCACGTAACATGCACAATATGCATGACAAAGATCTGGGTTCGAGGAGAGATCGTTATTTCAGCNCTTCACGTAACATGCACAATATGCATGACAAAGATCTGGGTTCGAGGAGAGATCGTTATTTCAGCCCTTCACGTAACATGCACAATATGCATGACCAAGATCTGGGTTCGAGAAAAGGTCGTTATCGTTCAGAGCATGCGCACTACACTTGTTTCCAATGACAAATGACTGCGTCACTAGTCGCAAGGAACGCTGTCTAGCATAACATCGCATTTTCATTAACTCTAATTGTAATTCTTTTTTTCAGCATCCATTGAAGTGTTTTTGGATATCTTACAACGCAAGTACAAATGGAAAGAAGTGACCGTTAAGAATGTGCTGAAAGAACTACGCGAGGAAGATATCTTGACATTGAAAGCTTTAGCTGATGCTTGGGAGGAGCCATCGGTGCCGGCGAAATTTCCACTGGGCATGAGGAAAATGGTTGAAAGCCACCTTAAAAGCATGGACACGTATTTTGAATGAGTTATATATTTGGTGTACTGATTGGTAACATGTTTTTCACAACGCTAATGTCGCCAATCAGCATAGAGTGGGCGGACAGAAAGAAAAGGGTAAAACACGCCTAAAAATCGTAACTTCAAGGAAAAAAATAGATTAAAAATATGAAAATTATGTTTGCCTCTGCTTTTTCGTTGTCTTAGGATTTTAGCCCTAGCCTTGACATAATTCCTTAAAGCAACCAATCAACTATTGAACACCCGACGTCAGCACAACCATGTATAACCAGACAACACAAAAACCTTGTTTGTGGAGATTCCATTGGGGTTGGAGGAATGTTGAGGGATATTAGTACCAACACCAAGAAAGCCTTTAAAACACTGAATGTGACGATGAATGAAGTAGTTTGAAAATGATAAAGATTTAAAAGGTACTTTTAGGAATACAACTAGTTTTCTTATTAAATCCCGTGAAATGGTTTTAAAAATAGGCTGACTGGTTATGTTTGCAGTATGATGGTTTCCTCTAGAACGCATGCGCGCAGTTTAACTTCTTTAGTTGCATGTTATTATTAGTATAATAGCTCGTTCCATTTTTCCCTTTTCTATTTCCTAACCAATTGAATGGATGTTTAAGAGCGACTGTCCACTAATATCGAGCA